CCAAATGACACCACTAGCCTGAGGCAAAAAGATTTTTTTTTTTTTTGAGCAAAAATTAGTGCAGAACCTCTTGTGTAAACAATGCAGTGTTCCTTTCCTGTTCTGGTGATATTATTTAAAAAAGAAAACAACAGGGGCGCCTGGGTGGCGCAGTCGGTTAGGCGTCCGACTTCAGCCAGGTCACGATCTCGCGGTCCGTGAGTTCGAGCCCCGCGTCGGGCTCTGGGCTGATGGCTCGGAGCCTGGAGCCTGTTTCCGATTCTGTGTCTCCCTCTCTCTCTGCCCCTCCCCCGTTCATGCTCTGTCTCTCTCTGTCCCAAAAATAAATAAACGTTGAAAAAAAAAAATTAAAAAAAAAAAAAAAAAGAAAACAACAGTTTGTCAAATGAAAAAAACTAGTACCTTCTAACTTCTTTAAAGTTTCAAAATTAGGTCAAATAAAAATCTATGACTGTCAATGTTCAATAAAAGTACATTTTAGCAGCTTCTTTTAAAGTGTCTTCCATAAAGCAACACACACACTTAAAAAAAAAAACTTTCAGGGGCGCCTGGGTGGCTCAGTCGGTTATGTGTCCAACTCTTAATTTTGGCTCAGGTCACGATCTTACAGTTCACGAGACTGAGCTCTGAGTCTAGCTCTCATGCTGACAGTGAGGAGCCTACTTGGGATTCTCTCTCTCTCTCTCTCTCTCTCTCTCTCTCTCTCTCTCCCTCTTTGCCCCTTGCCTGCTTATGTGTGCTCTCTCTCTCCTTCTCAATAAATAAATAAAAATTAAAAAAATTAAAAAAAAAAACTGAGATAATGTATGCTTTCTCACTGTAAAACATGTTTATCTGCGCCATTAAAACATGTTTGCCCCCAAACTCCTTATTGGACTACTGCTACCTCAATGTCACTCTCAGACTAAAGAAAAAAGGGAATGAAGTTCACTGATGATTCAAACCACCCGGGGACACTCCACCACAGTGTTCCCTAAGATAGAGCGCATTTCTAACAACAGCAACAGCTAAGCAAGCTGTCTCAGCTGGCTGTCCTCTCTCTACCCTGCATCTACGACTCTCCTGTCTCTAACAACACTCACTTCATGCTCGTCTTGAGAGTATGTGAAGGGAATCCATCTTTCAAGGGCATATTCAAGTCCCACTGAATTAGTCTTCCACTTACACTCAATATTTACTGCACGTGTATACCTTAGGTCAGACCTATGTTAGTTTCTAGAGCTACAAAAAAATTTGTAAGACACACAGAAATAACAAAATACCAGAGGGCACAGATAAAGAAAAGGCACTGAAATACCACAGGAGAAGTACCCTAATTATAGGGACAGAGAATCAGGACACTATGGGAGCATAAAGGTGTGGCATCTTTCCCAGACCAGAGAGCCCAGGGAAAGCCTCACAGGTACGGCCCTGAAGAACCAAGGCAGAGAGTAGGAGGGAGGCAGTCCGGGCATGCAGCACGAGTTATAGCAATTACCCCAAGGACAGAAATCATGGCAAGGTTGGAGAACTTCAGTAAGGCAGGAGCAGGGGATGCAAAGTGAGGACACATTGTCAAAAAGAGTGGGGTGATAAGAGGGGACAGATTAGGAAGGGTTTTATATTTATGCCAAGTTAAGGATTCTGGCTTTTATTAGAAGCCAATGGAGAGTTATCAAAGGGTCTAAAGAAGGCTAGTTTTTCAATCCATTTGCTATAGAAAGATCTTTGGGTGAAAAGGGGCAGACGAGACTGGATGTATGGAAACCAATCAGGAGGTTGACTCGGTGACCAATGTAGTGGTGGCCTGAACTCAGGTGTTTGCAGTAGGGATGGAGAGAAGTGCAAGATTCAAAGAGAGTAAGTAGGTAGACCTGACACAAAGGATTGACTGACTGGATGTGGAGATAAGAAGGAGGAAGAAGAATCAACGATGACCTTCAGGTTTCCTCTACTCAGTCATTCTAGAATGTATTTACCGAAAGCACCTAGTATTTTCTACGGTTCTAGCTACCAGAGACACAGCAATGCACAAAAGAACGTCTTGTGCTCATGGAAATTATGTTCTAGCAAGAGAGGACAGACAAGAAACGAAGGCCCCCAAGAAGCCATCTCTGATCGTCCTATCTGATAATGGGTTCTATCCTCTTACATAGGCCAAAGTACACCTTACATTTTGAGTCCAGGTGAAACAGAAGAGGATCACGTCATATATACACTGTTTAATGAGCTCAGCTAGGAATCCTACAACACTTGCGGCAAAGAGATGATGGGCTGGTCAAGTCTGAAAAATGGCGTCTGTGTAGAAAGAATGCATGAATGATTTTAAAGATTTTCCTGGCTTTTGGCAAAGAAGTAAGATATTGTTTGTACCTTTTGGACAATTTAAGGAATTTTCAAGAGAATTTTGACCTTTTCTTACCTTATGGGATAAATTTAAAACCTAATTTACTTCCCATCCCCACTTCCCAAGCAGATGCCAAGTATATTATTTGTTATTTTTCTCTAATTGCTTCACGTGGGTAAGTAAGCAAAAACCACTTATGTAAGTTTCCGAGTAGTTTTACACTCAATGGAAGACAGAAGCAGCGCCTTGGATGTCTTCACACTCCCCACGGTCACTGGCGGAGTCCCAGGCACATATAAAATGCTCAATAAACATGAGCTGAGTGGAAACTGATGGGGCTCAGGGTATAACTTTATTGAAATTCTGGTCTCCAGTGCAAAAAGAAAAAAGAAAAAGAAAAAGAAAGGAAAGAAGACATACAATGGAAAAAAAACCCAGATGTTAGCAACAGAGCTAATGAAATCTGTCTCATAAGAGCAGAGAATTTAATAAACATTTCACATAAAATCATAAATGCTGATTTTAATTTCAAATGACCCTTGTCAGTCATAGAATGTGATCTCTAATGACTCACCTTGGAGCAGTTCAAGACCTGAATGATAACAAAAGAATGGGAGAGGTAGAATGAGGGAGGGAACATCAAGTAAGGAGATAACACAATTTGTAGGGGGCAAAAGGCCTTAATTTCAGATGCTGTGGGGCAATTTGGGACATTGGTGCAGCACAAGCAGGTTCGACTTGACCCCTAAATGTATCTTTTACTTTGTCAACTCAGCCTTCAATGCCTTGAAGGAGCCTTGAGGACAAGTCCTTACAGAAAGCAGGGGGCCCGAAGCACTATTACTGAAATAAAGACAGAGATGACCAAGGAGTCTTTTCCTCTCTTCACACAAGAAACCTTGAACTTTACATGCGGGTCTGAATTCAGTGTGCTCTTTTGTTATGTAATACACAACATCTTACTTATTTTGTTTGTTGTCTATCTCCCTGATTAGAATGTGAACTCTATAAGGGCAGATATTTTTTCCTGTTTTTCACTGTTACCTCCCCAATACCTAGAACAAAGCTAGATGAACAATAGGTGCTCAGCAGCAGCAGCTGAACGGATGAAAGATCAACACTTAGATGACTGAACAGCCCATTTGTGAATCGCATGTATATTTTCAAAAGGATAATTAGTGTGTCACTGAGAAACAAAACTACTCTGAGAGAAGTCCATCACCAATGCAAATAAGTTACCAATTTGTTTGATTAGTACACACTACAAAACAATGGGATCCACTAGGGGAAAAACTCCCATGACCTAATCTTTGAAGGAAGAGAAATGCCATCTAAGCAGAGTCAGTTGGATTCCACTAGAGAAGAGTACATTCCCCTTAAAAGCTGAAGTCAAAACTAAAACCCAAGATCTAAAGGACTTCTGTGCATTTAAGCAGGCATTTTCCCCCCACTTGGTGGGTATCTGCATATAAGCTACAAAACATTCTATTTCTTATAAGCTATAAGTGCAGTTAAATGTAGGACTATTTTCTTCTTTTCCTAGCTTCCTCTTTTATTTACTAGTGTGCCAGCTCAGAACTGAATACATCTTTTCCTCTGCTAGCAAAAACTTACAATAGACATAACTTCTCCTCTCCCAGGTTGGCCTAAAGGCCAAACAGCTCCAATATATTTTTCTTTTAATTTTTTTTTAGAGAGAGACAGCAAGAGCATGTGTAAGCAGGAAAGGGGGGCAGAAGGAGGCAGAGAGAATCCAAAGCAGGCCCCAAGCTCAGCACAGAGCCTAATGCGGGGCTCAATCCCATGACCCTGGGATCACAACCTGAGCTGAAATCAAGAGTCAGACGCTCAACCCTCAACCAACTGAGCCACCCAGGTGCTCTTCGAGCTCCTGGATTTTAAAGAACTCCCTTCACACAGAATGAAAGCTCCAAACCAACACATAGCTGATCTAGCTTACATTTTTGGTAAGTCACAACTATTAGCCCCTTCCTTTTACGGGGTCCTGAGCCCGACTTCTTGATTCAAACAAATGAAACAGCACACAAAACACATACAAATATCATAACTTGGTTATCTGTTTAAGAGCCATACAATTCAATATAAACCAAAGCCAAACTAAAAAATAACCTTTGTTAGGAAAAATTATGAAATACTTGGAAATAAATCAAAAGGATAATTTCATGTCCTTTCAATGTCAGACTATATCACTAACAGGCCCACCCAAGGGATTATTTAATAGGTTAGGATAATGTACCTTTGTTCAGCTTATATTTATTATCTACGAGGGTGACGTCTGTTAAGTTACTTGTTAACTTGTAGATTTTTATCCACAGAGACACAAATGATTTTTCTGTTAGAAAGATAACCTCAAAGATTACA